CAAATGGCACTAGAAGATCGATTCAAATGCATACTACATAACAAATGTACGTGTTCCGATTTTTCCTGACCGCAGGTCCCTTTTAACTTTACGTGTCACATATAATTAATATTTGCGCCGGGTATTTAATGTTCGGCTCCGCCCGAACTTAGACTTTCTTACTTGTTTTTATTTATTACACTCTTGCAGCAAATGAGCGATATGTATTTAACTCGACCGCAGGTCAATCTCACATGTATTCTTATTTTTGGTTCTAGAAAGTTTAAATGGCGAGTAAAACGTGGGTTTAAAGAAAGGGTGAAAAATGCCTTATTAAACAACTTAATATTATTACTTACTGCGCCTTCTTCCTGTTGAAACACATCAATGACCATCTAAGAATGAAAATACTTTGTATTCATAGATATCACGATTGTAATTTACTTTCTTTACCTGGTGCACTTTAATATGAGCCTTAAGTGAACGCTGACAGTAAACAATATCATTTTTGATTTCCTTTGGAAATTTGAAGAAATTATCCAAATAATATTGAAAACCACGAAAATTCCCGGTCAACATGCTTAATACTACTAAAACCAACAGAACAAAATTTGTTTAAATGTCCCGACCAAAAACGTTACAAATGCTTTTCCCATTAACATCAACTCACAACCATTGACATTTGCACATTACGGAAAACTGCATCAAAACGCCAAAATCACAGGCGCAAAAACTATTGTGAATGCTCCTCCGCTCAGAGAACGTCAGTTCTTGCAGCGTTGCCGTTTGATAATTTTGATTCAAAAAGTAGGGGGTTTTCCGTAGTGTCATAGTAGGGCGATTCATAAAACTTTGCAAAATAGCATTGTTGTCGCAATGGCAACGTTGCGAATTAAGTAGTTTTTAAAAATGCCGCGCGTAAGTTCAATGATTGCAAGCTCAAATAATATGGCAATGTCGCAATTATGTCGCAAGAAAGTTTCCAACAAAAGTAATCAGCTGTGTTGCAAAGTGGCAAATTTTGCAACAAATGCGACATTTGCATCAACTTTACGATGGTTCATGAATCCCATTAGGTAGAACGTGGGGCAAAGGATGTAGGTCAGAGAACGTTTATGAATTGAGATTTTTTTGGCCGTGATCAAAATACATGTGGTTGTTGTTTTTGTATTCTTGCTACCACCTTGTATAAATTCGCCTTGAGTTTGGAAGGGCTGCAAAACTATCGATAGCAAATATTCGATAGTTTCGATACTTTGAAAAATACTATCGATATTTTCGATAGTATCGTATACTATCGTATTGTATATGTAAGGAAACTTCAACTCCGAACAAAATTTGTATAATTTATACATATGCACATATGTAAATGTAAATATTGCACATATATAAGTATAAATATTACAATCTTAAACGTGAAATTCTAAATATTTTCCTTAGTTAAATTCACAGCGTCACTTAAGTAAGATCCCAAAACTTCAAAGCACCGGCTCTATCGAAACTATCGTCTATCGCCCGAAAACAATTGATGTTTATCCAAAAATTAAACTATCGATACTATCGATAGTACAATCGCTAGTTTTGCAGCTCTAAGGTTTGGCTAGCAGCAAGGCGAATTTATACAAGGTGGTGTTGTAAGATTAGCTGATTTCTTCGCCTTACATGTAATTTGTTTTTGCGTTTACTGATTTGACAGCACACACATCAAAGCAAAAAACAAAATACATGTAAACTTTGGGGCGAATTGATATTTGACATAGCACCCGCATTACAAAATACATGTGGTGGTTGTTTTTGTAGTCTAAATTCGCCACTAACCAAGGCGAATTTATACCAGGTGGTGCTACTGGCGAATTTAGTGTGTTTGTTGTAATATGAATTCGCCTTGTTTACAACAAACATCATTTTTACATTAATAAGCACTGCGGCGAAAATCTAAATTCACCAGTAATACCACCTTGTATAAATTCGCCTTGGCAAGCTGCTTGTGTAGTGTATTTCGCTCTTATGTTGAAGGAAAGCAGTCGAGTATTGCAAGCAAATAATTAATGGTTGCCATCCCTAGGTACATTGCCAAAGTGAATTTTCTGTGGAACTGCAAGTGGAGAATCGGTGTTGCGTCACGTTACAATCTATTTATATTTAGTCACTTCTGAACTAAACGTGTAAGTTTTTTGGCCGTTACAAAATATTTGGGTAAAATATACATCCAGAGCGATATGGCTCGAGGGGCTCCTAACCTGCAATGTTATATAATATAATGTGTAGTAGAATCACAACTTTTTTTCAGCCAACAATGTCTATTGTAAGGAATGCTCGCTGTTTGGCTTTGCGCGGAATAAATACAATGCAAAAGCGTGGATTCGCTGATGAAATGAAATTAACTTTTGCCGCTGCAAATCAAACTTTTTATGATCAAGCAGAAGTTCGTCAAATCGATGTTCCTTCATTCAGTGGAAGTTTTGGCATACTTGCGAAGCATGTGCCAACTTTAGGTAATTTATAATTTAATTTTTATATCCGTATATAAAATCACATGTTTTTGCTTTATAGCCGTTTTAAAGCCCGGCGTGGTGCAAGTTATCGAAAACGACGGAAAGACTTCAAAATTCTTCGTATCTAGTGGCTCAATTACAGTAAATGAAGATTCATCCGTTCAAGTGTTGGCCGAAGAAGCACATAAAGTTGAAGATATTGACATTTCTGAGGCAAAGCAGATCCTATCACAGTATCAATCACAATTAAATTCCGCGTCAAGTGAAGAAGTAAGACACGTTTAAATTGTGAATTTGATTGCTAAGTAATTTGCCCCCAATTTTGAGAATGGTAGGCGGAATGGATGACGCTTGGTTCTTGAAAGAGCATAAAAAGCAATTGTCATTTGTTATTGTAACAGCATGTTCAACAGTTTAGTTCCTGAAGTAGCATTCTTTGGCAAGATATAAATCTGGGTAGTTTCGGTTGTCATGAGAACGCCATCGGTTTCGTAATCTTCAGTACTTTTGCGCAGTACTGCATCATGATACAAAAATTTAAATACTTTTATCATGATACTGCATAACTTGCACGGTTTTTTTTCTAACATACACAAATCTAAAAAACCATCACAGCGAATTAAAAAAAATTATATCAAATAATTTTTTTTAAGCTTAATCTCTGTTTTTAACCGACTTCCCAAAAAGGACGAGGTAATCAGTTCGTCGGAATATTTTTTTATATATTTTTTATTTTATTTATTTTATTTTTATGTATGTTACCGCATACCTTTGGACCACATCAACCGATTTCGAAAATTTGTTTTTGTATTTTGCATTTTAGCAGATAGTGTCTCAGAGGTGGTCCCATACTAATATGGTTTATATCCGATTATTGGATCATGAAATATATATATATGTATATATATTTGTATAAGAATTGAAGTCGGTTTTGTTTTTTGCTTAAAAATTACTTGTTTAATAATTTGTCGTTGAGTTCACAATACGCAAAATTTTGGTGGGCAAATTACTACCGTACCTTCTTTTGCCAATAAAGTATATGTATGTATTACAAATTTGTTTAATGGTTCCAGGCTAAAGCGGAAGCTGCCATTGCTGTTGAGTGTGCTGAGGCTCTTGTCCGAGCTGCGGAGTAAACTATTGCATTCAGTTCAGAAGGATAAATTTGCACTGAATGCAAAGTAAAAATTTGAAATTTAACGCTGGTATAAAATATTTGATCAACAAAAATCCGGTATAAATAAAACAATGTCAACCAAAATACCCTGATTCTTAATATACATACTTAAGTGGGTAATTTGCAAACAAAGTGTAAATGGCATTACAGTTCAAAATGACTCTTCGACGAGTATGGTCGTGTAGACCTGTTGAGTTTTTAACCGACTTCGAAAAAAGGAGGAGGTTATCAGTTCGGAATATTTCTTTTTTTTTTTATATACGTTACAGCATAACTTTGGATCACGTCAACCGATTTCGATAATTCTTTTTTTTTTGCATCGGAAAGGTAGTGTCTCAGAGGTGGTCCCATACAAATCTGGTTTAGATCCGATCATTGGATCATGATATATATGGTTTCTGATATAGATTGAATTATATTTTAAATGAAAATTATTAAAAATAAATAAATAAACGTAATTTGCAAGCAATATCGTTTTGAATTTCGTTGCTATATGTATATATACAGATGCGTGCAACTAATTAGCAACGAAATTCAAAACGATATTGCTTGCAAATTACGTTTATTTATTTATTTTTAATAGTTTTCATTTAAAATATAATTCAATCTATATCAGAAACCAAAATAACAAAAGTTGCAAAGCTTGCACAAATTGTAAAAAAAATTAATCAAACTTCAAAAAATTGTCATCAAAATTTTTAATTAGAATATTTAGAAAATTTTCGGGTATGCAGGTTTGTAGCCCATTCAATTTTAGTATAATAAAGTGCAAGTTTCAAGTCGCTAAAAATTACCGTTGATTTTTTAGAATTTTTTTTGTCGAGGGTGCTGCGGATTTTTTTCCATGTAAAAAAATATTTTGATCATGTGTTATATGGAAGAAAATGCGCAACACTCTCCAAAAAATCTAAGTATATTATAAAATTAAATGAAAATGTTAAAGCGTACCCCTTGATACGGTCTATCGTATGAACGAAGTAGCTGTGATATAAAAAAGGAACATACATAACTGCATCGTACAGTTCCATAAACAAATTTTTCAATCACAACCTAAAAATATAATTTGACGAATAATTATAAAACTATCAAATTGGAGGAATAACCTGGTGAGGTGAGGACATAGTTCCCTGCCATTAAAATTCTATAAATTACCAAATTGAAGAATAACCTGGCGACATGAGGACCTAGTATCCAGCGATTTAAATTTTTAATCTGAATAATACCTTCTAATTAGAGGAATAACCTGGTTACTTGTGGACCATTAAAGTACAGTATACGTTTTAATTTAATATAATTGATAAAGAATTGAAAGGAATAAAACGTATGATACATATATAAGCAGACACTTTTGCACGTGGTTCTGGCCCTCAGCGGTATTGCCATCGTGTATCAGTGGAGCGACGTTTGGGCATATCAATGGAGTATAACATACAAAGAGACATATATTAAAAGCAGAGGAATAACCTGGCGGCGGTGAAAACCAGCCTGAACCTCAGTGTAAAAATTATTTTCTTTATAAAACTAACAAACGTGTGGATAAGACATTTGCAAAAATCTCCAAATCAAATCAACCAAAAAATAACAAATGAAAGCTTTAAACGCATTTTTATTACCTTTTTTACGTTTTTAAATACAAGTTTTAAGCAAATTT